TCAAACTCATTGAATTTTTCTAATAAAATCGCATTTGAAATCAATGTACATAAAAGATTGGAATATTTGAAATGAATTGAACAGAACTTCATCAAACCAGTATAAGCGACGAATATTGTTCCAAAATGAATAAATAATTCGCCATTATTATTTTACTATTCAATTAGACTATGCTTCATAAACCCGTTCAAAATACGCTTATTATAATTATGTTGATGACTAATTTTATTTTGAATATTGCTTAATTTGTTATTCTTACATGTAATATGTATGTATAACTCATATTAAAATGCAGTATTAATAAATGCAGTAATTAAATGCGCTTCGTTTCGCTCGAATGATTTAAAACTTATAACATGTCGGTTTTAATTATGTATGTATATATTCATAAGTAAATTCTTTAAAATTTCCTAATGCTATTTTTTATTGAATTCACGAACATTTCGCATATTTCTGAACATTCAATTTAAAACTAAAGGATATTTTATGAAAATGTTACTGTTTAAAGAGAGTATTGAAAAACATACTTACATGCTACTTTTTTATTCGCGAAGAATGTCCACGTTTGTTTGTTGTTTATAAACCACAACTGCGCAAGCGTTTTCTTAGCGATTAAACATAGCGGTCTAAAACGAAAAAGAGCAACCTTCTTTTCCTATATGAGAATTGTCATTTAGAGATCTCCAGGGTTCAGAAATAAGGGGGGCAGGAGACCTGCACGGCCGCTTTAAGGCGGTCATAACGCTTTCGAGGTCTTCACCACGACCGCCTAGAACCGTCAGTAACGCTTTCGAACACTTTTCCAATGACCGCCTAGAAGCGTCCGTAACGCTTTCGAGGTAGGCCGTCTTGACCGCCTAAACCCGGTCATAACGCTCAGAGGGTTAAATTCTCAATTAATTCATTATACTCTTTTGCCGAACTCAATGAACTGGACCCTATTAGAACATCATCCATGTAAAAATCACTCTGTAGAACTGCAGCTGCTAATGGAAAATTTGTGAACTCATCTATAGCAAGCTGACGTAATGTTCTCATAGCTAAAAAAGATGCACTTACTGTGCCATAGATGACCGTGTTTAACTGAAAAGTTTTAACTGGACCATTAATTGACTCTTTCCTCAAAATTCTTTGTAGCTGCCGTTGAGTAGGATGAATCGATATCATTCGGTACATCTTTTTGATATCCGCTGTAAAAGCATAAATATGTTTTCGGAAACGTACCATAGTTGAAAACAAGTCCTCTTGAAATACACCACCATTATACTGAATTGAATTCAGTGAATTACCTTTTGACGTTGCAATCGAAGCATTGAACACTACTCTCAAAGGTGTCGAACTTTTCTCAGGACGATAAATACCAAGGTGGGGAATATAATAATTCCCCTTTTGCTCATCTTCATCTTTCACTTCAGTCATGTGACCTAGTTCACTATATTCATGTAGAAAATCAGAGTACAATAATAAATAATTTTCATCCTTACTTAAACGAGTTCACAACGAGTTCAACCTCTTAAGTGCAATTTGTTTCGAATTCCCTAAACACATTGAATCTTCCTTAAACGGTATCTTGAGTACATATTTTCTGGTTTCAGTCCTGTAATAGTTTTTGAGAAAATGCTGTTCACAAATTTCTGCTTCTTTACTCTTAGAAATCTCAGACTCTCTTTCTACGTTTTCGATTTCCCAAAACTCTCTTACTGCTCTTTCTAACTCCAAATTATCTGTAATAAGCCCACAATGTAATTTACTTTCCCCTTTAGCAGGAAGAGTCCCACTTACAACATAGCCGAAAACACTATTTTGTAATCTTAAATTTGAATCCTGAAGGGAAATTTGACCTGGTTTTAAAAGCTCATAGAAATGTTCTGCACCTATCAGAAATTCAATTGAGCCTGGCTCAAAAAATTTGTCATCTGCTAAATTGATATTATCTAAAGATGAAACATTAATTTCAAGAGGCCTAGAGGGCGTATATTCTGTTATTTTAGGAACCACCAAAAAATTTAAACTTAAATCAAAACTTTTGTCTCTAGTTAAAATAGTTGCACTAACTCTAGATTTTATATTCAAAGTCAAATTATTTATTCCTGAAACAGAAATGTTAGTCTTTTCTCCCTTTAATTGAAGCAAATCTGCTAAGCATTTTCCCATAAAATTTGAATTCGCGTCGACATCTAACAATCTTCTAACCTTAAAAAACATGATTCGATGCATCTTTAATTAAACAAAAACAAGTGCTGAGTAAGACAGCTTTTAATTCATTCGCGAGATTGCACGTTGTTGATAATAAATTTTGATCAGTACTCGTTACAGCTTGCAGAGGTTCAAATGATTGAGCCGAAGCGTCCAAATTCGAAGGAATATTTTTATTTTCATGACTCACCCACCTGTGCAACTATGTCTTTGTTTACTTTTTGTTCGCGAGGGAAATAAAGAGTCATGAGATGTTTCTTTTTACAAATACCGCAAGAGAATTTATATCTGCAATTAATCACCTTATGATTTCCTACACAGTTGAAACATAGCTGTTTCGATTTCACTAGCCCAACTCTATCGTTAACGCTCATGTTTTTATAAACAGGGCATTTGTACAAAGGATGAATTTCATTGCATGATAAAATACATTTCGAATTTTTTACATCAGTTAGAAAAACCTTTGACATATTTTTAGGATAACTATTTTTATTACTTAACCTAGAATTATCCACTACAGGTTTTTCCCTTTGATGTATAATATAAATCTATCTCCTTCTCTAATTCTACAGGTTAAAAAACCAAGAATTTTTTACTTTAAACACAACCTCTTTATCAAGGAATTTTTTAAAACATTATTTTTAATGTTCTGTCATGTTTCAGTTCAATATAACCTTCTACTAAGGATAAATTTCCTTGTTCTAATAAGATCCTATAATAATGAATGCGCTACAGGATAACCACTACCAAACTCATCAGGAACGATTAAATTTAATAAATAAAAATCATATTGATTTGTTTTGTGAGTAGAATCAATACATAAAATCCTGGAGCAACCTTTAATCATCATATCTTTCTGCTGTTTAGTCTGCAATCCTAATGCAAAAGACTCATTTGTAGAAGAAAGTTCATCAAGCCCTTTTGGACCGTACAATGTTGGCTTTCCTTGTGGTTTATAAATAAGTACTGGATCATATGATTCTTGCCTGAGTTTTTTCAACTATTGTGGCAACTGAAAGTGAACCATCACCAGGAAAGGAACATACTAACCGCTTTTTGTAAGTGTTTATCACTCTTCGTGTTACAAATACATCTTTATCATATATGCCCTCCCTATTATCCCGCAGTCCACTTCCATCTCTGATAAATTCTTGAATTTGATCCGTGGATACACCTAACTGTGCATAAGCTTTAATTTTGTTACGGCAACTCTGACTAAGTTGGTGGAACCTGCTATTTTCAAAAGACAATTCATGATTATGATTCGAATAAAATATGGCTGTGACAAGGTGCGATTCTTCACAAACTAAAATTTTTGACGGACACTTAAAGTTGGAAGGTAAAGTATCTTTTAGATTTTTTCTACTGGAAACAGGAACTTTCTTTTTATGCATTACATTAAATTGACAACAGTAATAATGAAAAGTTTTATCATTCCTACATCTACTTCCAGCAGACTTTTTATAAGAACTGAATGTCTGCTTACTATGCGATTCTAACCAGAATTGAAATTCTCCTATTGATGAAAATGTAAGTTCTTGCATAGCCATCTCATAATCATGATATTCAGCCAAATGTTTATTACATTCATTATCAGAACAAAATATTTCCTTACAATCAGGAATAACACATGGCTTAGAATTATTAGATGTAGGATTTTTAATACTACAGATCTTTTTATGATGAAAAAGGTTACTGCGGCTTTTACAATCTCTCTCACACCGGTCACAAATATATGCCTTTGGAATACATTCAGCTGATGGTGCTTTGCAACATTTTTTATGATTGGAAAATGATTGTCTAGTGGAGTACGACTTCATGCAAACTTCACACACTCTGGGATATTTCATTTCTACAATACCTTTACAGTTACGTTTATGATTAGATAAGGACTGTTTAGAAGAAAAAAGGTTTCTTACATTTAGGGCAAATCTTAGATTTTCCATTAGAAGCACAATTTTCTTTATCATAATTACTCACGAGTTCAATTTTATTGTTATTTTCAGATTTATTTGGACTCTTAGCACCCCCAAACTTAAAGTTTGAACATTCATTATCATCTTCAAAAAGTGAAATCGATGAAATGATGAAAATTGTTGAAAAACAGCCGAGAGATCGAAGATCAACAACTGTAAGATCTGATGAGATGAAAGAAGCCGAGTCTGAAACAGGAGGAGAACTAGAATAGGTGAGAACCTGAAAAGCAGAACCTAAATAACCAGAAGATTCAGAATTGAGCACAGAAGCAACAGAAAATTGAGGAACAGATGCAATGGCATCAACATTATTTGGACCAATGTTAACAGCACTTTCAAGAAATGGAAAATCTGATAAAGCAGATGAAATGGAATTAATTGCAAGCTCAGAAGCAACTGTAACAGGATACAAAGAACCAGAAAGCTGAGAAACAGATACACTTGGATCAGCAGAAAAATGAGAAACAGATGGAGTACTGGAATTCTGAGAAACTGGTGCAGTGATGTCAAGAATACTCGAAACAGTGTCGGCTATAGGCTCAAGAACTGGAAAATCCGATAACAAGAAACCACTGGGATGATTATCCAAAGACGTGTTGGTAGAACCATATTTTAAAACATCTGAATAAAGAGGTTTAGAAAGAACATCAGGAGAATCCAACAATACTGAAATACTGGGATGGTTATCCAAATCAGTCAAAACACCTGGTAATGCTAAAGCATTAGGGCGACTATCCAATGTAGTACAGACATGCGAAAGTTTCAAAACACTTGAATAAAGTGGTTTCGAAGGAACACTTGAAGGAGCACACAAAACTGAAACACTAGAATCTGATAAGCCTAAAGTATCAGGATGACTATCCAAAGTGCTGCAAACAGAAGAAACCCGTTTCAAAACACTTGAATAAAGAGGTTTAGAGTGAGTACTTGAAGTATCTGAAATGACAGAAGCACGAGGATAATTATCCAAAATCGTGATAGGTACAGAAGGATGTTTTCCTGAAACAGTGGATAAAGCTGGAAACTCAATAGCAGATACAGAGGAAAAAGATGTAGCACTTACCTTTGGAAGGGATTTCACACTCAAAACGCTCTTTATGTCCTTCACAAAAATTCTCCCAAGCTGTGCATTACCCTTACGGTTCAGATGCAATCCGTCTCTTGACAGACAAGTACTCCAATAGTACTCACCAGATCTGCAAAAAGAAAAAGCTTCTCGGCCTTTGAATGCTTCGAAAAGATTAGTGTTTATCCGAGCTAATTTTCTGTTCAGCTTCTTTAAACTGTACGGGTTGAAACCATTCTCGAATAAATTTCGTTCACACGGGGGAGACACCTGAAAAGAGAATGATCTTCGGGTTTAAACGCTCAATAACCTTATACAGACAATCATATTTATGATGAATATCATCCAAAGTGTCACAAGAGTTATTGGTACCAACGTGAACCAAAACTAACTCAAATTGATTGTCTATCAAGGTTATCTTGCGTGTCAACCTTTCAATCGTAGCACCCGGAAAACAATGAAAATGAACTTCATAATCCAGTAAATTCAGCAATAAATATTCTTTTAAATATTTTATCATCGAATCTCCGATTATAAGTATTTTCATTTTTCCTGTTTGCTTAGACAAAGACATAATAAAAATAATACAAATAACAAAATCAAATTAAGAATTAGCACGTGCAATAAAAATACTCACCGATGAAAATGGCGGAATACGATTTGTATTTTTACTACATTTACGTATTTGACGCCAGTGTCCAGTTTGGCGTGAAAATGATAACCCTCCAACCAATCAGAGCAAAGTACACTTTCCGTACACATTTCGAATTTGCTGTACATAATTGTGCAAACTTTTTGAAGCGCATACAAAAGCGGTATCTTCAAACTCACAAAGTAGTGTGCAGCGTTCTAACATGGATACAAGTGAAAATAAATTCGTGTGTCAATTTATTCCCACATAGACATTACGTTATTTAAGGAAATGTCATACAGCAGAATTTATGTCAGAGACGGCAAATAAAATACAGTCAAAAGTCTTTAATCCGGAAGTCCATAATCCGGAATGATGTATAATTCGTACCTCAAAGCTACAAACTTTCTGCGCATGCTTAAACGCATAATACCTTTACTCATGCGCATAATTTATGTCAGAGACGGAAAATAAAATGCAGTCAAAAGTCTTTAATCCGGAATGATGTATAATCCGGACCTCAAAGCTACAAACTTTCTGCGCATGCGTAAACGCATAATACCTTTACGCATGCGCATAATACGTTTCGCAAGCGCGTTTAATGTATAACGGACGGTATAAGCTAGGTTAAAATTATCTATTTCAGTTAATGTTGCAGATTGCGTTGTTCTTTAATCTTCTAATTGGATCCAGGCTTATTATTTTTGCAGACTGTTAGAGCAATTTTATAAAAGTAAGTAGTAACCTTGAACTTTCGATTATGTCAAAAAGAATTTCCAATTCTGGAGCTGCCAAAGGATCTACAAAGCGAAAGCATGTTTCGATGTCCATCAAACAAAAAGTGGAATTGCTGCAAAAAATGGATAAAGGCATGAAGAAAGGACAAGATCCTTTGTTTCTCTAACCATTCCGAAATCTGTTTGATCAATTTCACGCTGCTCTGCGGGGGGGGGAACGACGCGGCGCGCAATGAACTGGAAGTTGATCTGTCAGCACTATCCTTATCTTCAGGGCAGATGTTTTTATTTTATTCGGCTTATAATTCCTTACTAAATGTAGTATTTCATCTCGATGTACTCCGTCTTTGATATGATTTAAATCAAATTCCTCGTCATTATAAATATCACGAATACACATCAAATAGTTTTCTGGTTGCAATTTTCTAATTTCGACTATGCGTAATGTATGCTTTACGCATGCGCGCGTTGAAAGAAATGTTTAATAAAGTAAACAAATAAATATTAAGCTTTTTTTTTTGTAAATTTTGATACCCTTTAGATCATAATTGCTCTTTATTTCATAAATTACGGTTTCATATTTTTAATTTTATAATTTCTGCATGCCATCT